AATCCCTTATTTAAGGGGATAGGGATATGGCTCATCAATTAAGAGTATCAGCTGCTCTTCCAGAGGTCCAGGATTCAATTCTCAGCACCCACATGATAGCTAATCTTTATCTCTAAGGGCATTGCATGCGTTACACATATATACATGCAGGCAAATTACCTAAATTTTATATACCTAAAATACCTAGTTTTTAAATGGTATGAAAGATGGCGGACACAGGTTCAATACCCAGGTTCCACAGGGTAGCTACCCTGTGCAGTTCTTGGAGATCCAATACCTACTTCTTGCCTCCACCACACCAGCCTCCCACATGGCACACATACATGTAGGCTATATATGTGTGTATGTATGCATGTATACATGGGTACATATATACAAAAGTACATATATATGTGTATATATATACTTATGTGTATGTATATACATATATAAGGACAATATATCCAAGCAATTCCAGTAAATTTATATGCCACCAAAAACATCTTTTAAAAAGCACTGAATTAGCCGGGCGGTGGTGGCGCACGCCTTTAATCCAAGCACTTGGGAGGCAGAGGCAGGTGGATTTCTGAGTTCGAGGCCAGCCTGGTCTACAGAGTGAGTTCCAGGACAGCCAGGGCTATACAGAGAAACCCTGTCTCAAAAAAAAAAAAAAAAAAAAAGGCACTAAATTACAAGTCTATTATCCAGAAGTTAAAACATTATGCCCCACTTAAGAAACTGAATCATAAATAGAAAAACCTAGAAACATGGAAAATTTAAGAATGAGAGTTTGTATACCAATCAAGAAGGCTACATGGTCATCTATGTTAAATTTCTACATTAGGGTTAAAATACATACTGTTAATATTAGTACATGACTCATGTTAAAACTATACATAAGCAAACTACAATAACACAGTTTTGTATTGGACTTGTTAAACCATGGAGTTTTTCTAAACTAAAACATCTCAGCCTATTCATCGGTGCTCAAAATCATGTTAATAGAAGGTTACATGTAGTCATTATCCTTTATCTCTCTCTGGCTTCTTGAATTTAGAAGTGAAGAGTATGAGCAAAAAAGTAGTCTACAGAAATGGAAAGCTGACCTGTTAGTTAAGAGCACTGCTACTTTTTATAGATGAACCAGGTTAAAGACCTTACATGGTGGTTCACAGCTACCTGTAACTCAGGACCAGACACCCTCTTGCAACCTTCCTCTGACACCAGACAAACATACAACCCACATACATACAGACAAATACAGACACAGACAGACACATACAGACACAGACAGACACATACAGACACATACAGACACAGACAGACACAGACAGACACAGACAGACACAGACAGACAAGCACGCACGCACGCACAGCACTTTTTTACCCAAGAAACTGAGTCTGGTATCAGTCACTAAAATTCTCTATTAGCTTTTCTTCAGTAAGATGGTTCTTTGTCTTCATTTGTTACTACTCCAACTTTTAAAGGTTTGGGGTTTTCTGGTTGTTATTGTTTGTTTGTTTAGGGGACAGAAAAATGGCTCAGTGGTTATGAGCACCAACTTCTCTTCTAGGTGACCCAAAGTTCAACTCCCAGCACCCACCTGGCAGCTCTCAATCCTCTGTTAACTCCAGTTCCAGGGGATCCGACACCCTCTTCTGGCCTCCACCGGCACCAGGCACACAAGTGGTACAGATTTACATGCAGGAAAAACACCCATACATGTAAAAAAAAAACTTTTTAAGCTACTTTATTGCCACCTAGCAAAAGTGGTGTTATTTTTATACCCCAAGCAAATGAGTTTTTTAATGTGTTGTGTAGACATATATACAGTGGGCATGCAGTCTAGTTGATAATCTTCCTTTATCAATTCTCATCTTTTTTTTTTTTTTTTGAGACTAGATTTCTCAGTGAACTTGTATGGAGCTCACAGACTAGAAATAGCTGGTAAATGAGCTAAAGAAATTCTCCCATCCCCCAAGGCTTAAGTAACACAAGTTTATCACCAAGCCTCCCTTTTACATGGGTGCTGGAGATCTTAACTCAAATCTTCATGCTGGTATAGCAACACTGGGTCACTAAGTTGTCATTCTAGCCCTAGGAAGATAACTACAAGTATTTCTTTCTACAGTCCTTCATTTCACCTCAACTGATCAAAGTAAACTTTTGACAGCTCAAAGGTTGCCAGGCTACCAATAAATGGCTCCCTGCAGAGTTATATCATATTCTCTCTGAGAGAGAAGCATTCTTTTAAGGAGGAAAGCTACGATTTAAAAAAAAAAAAATCTAAATTCCTGAATTCTCTTTAAAGAAGTCTATTTTGTTGAGACATACTTTTCTTAATGTTAATCCTACACATTCAATTATAGAGAACTCCAAAATATATTTTTCTCCTTGAGGTCTATTTAAAAATCAGAAAGACAGGGTATACAAGCTTTTGATTTTGAAACAGTCAGGTGTTCTTGAGAGGTGTAGTCAGAAGGATCAGGAATACACAGCAAGTTCAGGGTTATCCTTGGGCTACAAAAAAACCCTTTAAGAAGTTCTCAACTTTCGAGAATTTCAGGCTATTAGGTTAGATATGCTAAGTCATTAGGCCATGAAACAGTGCAGCAAGTAGTTGTGGCATATGAGGCTACCCATACCCAGTTGGAAAAGAATACAGGTCTAACACTATAAAACCTGGTCAACTATATATGGCTGGGGAGGTCATAGGCAGACCCAAAGACGTTGGCCATCTGCTTACGTTTTGCTAAGTAGACATTTTAAGAGTCTTCTAAATACCTATGGGTTTCTTTAAAAAAAAAGAAAGAAAGAAAGAAAGAAAGAAAGAAAGAAAGAAAGAAAGAAAGAAAGAAAGAAAGAAAGTAAGTAAGTATAGGCATCCAAAGAGACCAGAAGATGGTGCTGGATCCCCTAGAGCTGGAGTTGCAGGAGATTTTGAGTTTCCCCCATAGGGGTATTGAGAACTAAATTGGGATCCTCCACAAGAACATATGTGTTCTTTATTCTGAAACATCTCTCCAGACCTCATAAACATTTAAGTTTATACCCATAAACTAATGCTGCTCTCAACCTTTGGCACAGAAACATTTCTTATAGCAGAGGATGACACTTAATGCAGAGTACTCCTAACTGGTCAAACTGCTGGGAATAAGTGACTATTGATACCTTGGTTCTAAACTGGACATAGTATTGCCTCTCCAAGGCTTGGGAGAAGCAGTACAGAATTGGGAGAAGACTGTCAGAGTTGGAAATTAAGAGGAGTGTTATGAAGCATGGACTTTTGGAAATGACATATCCCTTGCAATCATAGATACATAAGAGCTAAGGCTACATGTACAAGACAGGGCCCTTTAACATGCCATCAAGGATGAGGGAAGACTCAGGAGGTCCCACTCTTCCCTGAGGAACATTTGAAAGTTAACAGCTATAGGGAAAAGGGACGTCATTTTCTTCAGTGGTGTAATCACCTAAGTTGTCCAGAAAATAACCCCCTGCTCATGCTTACACTAGGTAGGTGAGAAGGCGTCAGTGAGAAAGAAGGGTATGAAACAGGGAAAAGTGGGTGTGGGTTAACTATGAATACATCTTGTATACAGGTACTGTCAAAACTAAAAAAATGACTGTAAATCCCAAATTTCAAAAATAAGAATAAATAAAAAGCATAGTGGTGTAGGCCTTTAGTCACAGCACTGCAGAGGCAGGTGGATCTCTGTGAGTTCCAGGGCAGATAGCTACACAGTAAGACCCAGTATCCAAAACAAAAAACAAAAACCTCAGAAAACTGAAGGGCTTCTAATTCAAATATCCTGTTTTATCCTCTTTAAGAACTTTTCAGGAGCAATCAACCTGAAGATTTTAAATTTGTTTAGATTCCATAAAACAGATAAGCCAAATTTAACAAATATCTGTCATAGTGAGTTATCCACAGAAACGATACAGCCAGGTCTGTGGAGGAAGAGGCAGGAAGATCTCTGGGAATGTGAAGCCACTCTGGCCTATAACAAGTGCAAGTAGGCTAGAGCTACATAACAAAAAAGTAACACATTCCTTAAGTTTTAACTAAACCTTGGATCTTAAACTTTTTTTATAATTCTTAATTACATCACTTCCCCCTTCCCTTTCCTTCCTGCAAATTCCTCTGGTGTACACTCGCTTGCTCTCAAGTTAATAGCTTCTATTTTATTTAATTACTGTTGATGTTGTAGTGTGTTTGCTTACTCATGTGTATTCCTATTGGGTTTCTCACCACACCAGGCTGGCCTCAATGACAATCCTCAAGCCTCAATATAGAAATTCACTTGTGAGACACTACATCTTGCTCAATCTTTTTGATTCACAGAATTAAAAGAAAAAAAATTAATCTGTTATATAAACCAGAATTTTGAACATTTTTAAATATTAGAAAATAAGAATTAGGTTCTCACCAAACATCTGGTTGTTTTTAAATCAAACATTCCCACTCACAACAAAATCTTTCATGTTGCTACCTAGAAATGTATTATTTGAATTTTTTTTAATTGTACTGTCTTTATATTTAAGTATATGGGTGTTTGGTCCACATATTTGTACACCACATGCATGCCTGCCTGGTGCCACCAGAAGGGGGCATTAAATTCCCAAGAACTAGAGTTACAGATGGTTTTGAGTTACCTGTGGGTACTCAGAGTTGAATCTGGGGCCTTGGGAAGAGCAGCCAGTGTTTCTAACAGCTGTCTTACTTGTTTATGTATATGGGTGTTTTTGTGAATTTCTGATGAAGGAAAAATGTGGTCCAAGTCTGGGAAAATCTTTGGAAGCCACATCACTTTCACATTCCTTTACATTTACACAGAACTATCCAAAGCCAGATGCATCAACAAGAAATTCTGTACCACCATCTTATAGATTCTGAATCTTATCAAATATCCCTATGTTATATACATAGAAAAATAAAAGGCACCTCAAAAACCTCCAGATAAGACACATAAGAAAAACCTGACATTAAGCATAGATAAAATGGAAAAAAAAAACTTACCAGTTTAACAGCCTCTTGTGCTGCTTCTTTTGTACAAAAAGTGACAAACGCATAACCTCTGTTGAGACCAGTAAGCGGATCCATCATTAAACGAAGATCCCAAATAGGTCCAGCTTTCTCAAATAATGGAACAAGCTCATCCTCAAACAGATCTCTGGGGATCTTCCCCACAAATATCTGAAAATTAAATATGAATTCACAATCATAAAGGATTCTTTAGAAAACTAGATAGCTCCATTTTTTTTTTTACTACAAATGGTACAAGTTTAAAGTTACTTTACCTCAGTGCCAACAGAAGGCTGCTGGCCTGAATAAACGGAATCTGGAGGTGGTCCTCCATACTTCCTCTGACCTGTAGTCACATCAAGTGTGTAGCCTGTTCTTTCCAAAAGTGCCTTGAAAAATTCAAAATGTTATTAATGCTTTGTTCATAAAATACACACAGTAATTAAGTCAACCTCATGCAAATATTTCCAATTATCTTAGCAACATTCCTCCATACAAATGTTTAAGATCTGTTTTAGAATTCTCCCTTTTTGTATACCTATCAAAATTTCAGAATCCTGTCAATCAATTTTTATTGGTTGATAAAGTACTGAGCAATAAAAATTAAAATCAATCGATCAGGAATCTCCAAGATATATATCCACTCTGCTAAGAAAAACCTCATTAAAAGCAGGCATCGGCTTTAATCCCAGCACTAAGGAGGCAGAGGCCAGTGGATCTCTCTGAGTTTGAGGCCAGCCTGGTAGACAGAGACAGAGTTCCACCGGACAGTCAGGACTACAAGGAGAAACCCTGTCTCAAAACAACAAAACACACACACACACACACACACACACACACACACACACACAGAGAGAGAGAGAGAGAGAGAGAGAGAGAGAGAGAGAGAGAGAGAGAAAGAGAAAGAAACACATCACTAAAAATGCAACAATTTGATTACTACCACCCAATTCTGGATTCCTTACCTAATCAACTCTTAGACCCCACCCCAAGACACACAATACCATTTATGGGCATTGTCACCTCCAAAGATAACACTCCACTCCTAAAATCATGCCTATAAACTTCAAGGCTATATGAAAAGCTTTTCTATTATTTGCTGTCAAAGTGTTGTGTGTCATAAGCAGCATGCTTCATTCAGAAAAAAATAGTCAAAATGATTTTGAAAAGCAGTAAGAAACTACAACCATGTAACTTTTAGATTTATCTCCCTTAACTTGTTAAAACTAATATAATTCATTTTACTCAGGGGTTTTTCTTCATTAAAAAGTGACAAAAGGGGCATATGTAACCTGTTTAACCATGTAACATGTAAGCCCAAAAGTCCCCTTCACTATTCTATCAACTATTAAAGTTCTCTAAGTAACAAAACTATTGTATCAACTAGATGACAATTCAAAATAAAAAGACCATACGACAAAACTTATCAAAATGTTAAGTGATTGGAGAATGAGTCACCTCAATTCCCCAAAATTTACTTTTTTTTTACTCAAACAGCATTATATATGAAATTATGGGAGGGACTAAATATAGGGTGTTTGCTTCATGCAACCTATCCCCACCACACACACACACACACACACACACACAAAACAACCAACTTTTAGACAGAGTTTCACAAAAATCTGTATGATCTAAATAGCTTTTTCATTACATTCAGTTTTACTCCTTAAAGGTATAATACTTTGAAGGGCTGGAAAATAGCTCAGTGGTTAAGAGCATTTAGGCCCTAAGTTCAAATCTAAGCACCACCTCTTTTCAAAAATGTTTAACTCTCCAATCGAGTTGGCATAATTGCAATAGAGATTATATACCCCATTTTTTTTTTCTGGTTTTTTGAGACAGGGTTTCTCTGTATAGTCCTGGCTGTCCTGGAACTCACTCTGTAGACCAGGCTGGCCTCCAACTCAGAAATCCGCCTGCCTCTGTCTCCCAAGTGCTGGGATTAAAGGCGTGCACCACCACCGCCTGGCCTATAAACCCCATTTTTGTTAGGAAACTAAACTCAACTCATTCACAACTGTGTGTGAAAACTGCTGACATATAACTTCATACTCCAATCTTGTCCACATGATCTAGGCTTCCTTTTCCAATACAGGTGAAATACCACACATTTATGCCCTTCTTAGCAACTGGTTTCCTTAAACCATAGCTCTTGCCTCAAGAAGTAGTGTTACTAAAGAATACCAACTAAAAACAAACCATACTCTTTGAACTACACCTAATTCACCAAGAACACTACCTAAATATGAGGTCATTTAATTTTCTATATGATCTTAAAGCCAATCAACCTGCAACAAAATAAACTTTCACTCCCAACCAATTATCTTTGCTTACCAAAGTTGGTTTTAGAAATAACTACTCTTAATAACCCAATAAAAGAAACAATACTAAAATTCTAAATTCATTGGGACCCTAGCCTCCAAAAAAGAAAAAGGTAGTCAGCTTTTTGTTTATCAGCAATCTGTAAGTAAACATTTAGACTTAACCATGAATTTCTTTAAATTTTTCTTACAATTTGGAAATGACAGCAGAGGTTGGAGCAGTAGTGGTTCAAAATTCAATGGTTTTTGAAAAACCAAAAACAAATCTGGACACAGTACTTTTCAAATCCTAGTCATTAGAAGACAATAACCTTAGAAAAATATATATATACATACATCCCCAGGCTACTCTTCAGGAATATTTAGCAAAGCTAATAAACAACTGAGGACTTAAAACTACAAAAGGTTTTAGGGACATACCTTAATCTTTGCCTCATCTGGTCCTTTACTAGAGTCTGCTACTTTGGTCCCTTGTTTCTCTCTCTGCCTGTAAGTCTTCATGACTCCACATAAAAAGGCACTTTTGTTCTGTAAAGAAATTTTCCATTCATATTTAACATTATTATGTCTATGTCTAGTAAATTTAAATGAACACATCAAAAATATTCTTTTTAATTCTTTCTACACTGACATTAAATTAACATTACCTGAACATGAGAGAGATCACTGTCTTTAAACTGCTGAAGCACTGCCAATGCGCCGTCTTCATTGAACTCTTTTAAAGCTTCGATAGCTCTTTCATCTAAATCACTATGTGCAACTAGCCCTGGAGAAGAAAAAATTTATTGAGTTATCACCTTTTAAATTTTCTAATTTATTTCTTCAGAGAGTCCTGTATTGGCCAATACAGGTACATATATGACAATGATTCTACCCTCCTTAACCTCCCTTTATCTACATAATGAAAACATACTTTAGCCATAGTCCTCTCAACCACACATAAAGGAGTCAACATATTTTACATCCTGTTTTGTGTCCAAGTAGTCCTGAACACTGCAGTATTTCTACAGTAAATATATAAACCTACAAATCCTAAAGTCAACCAACAAAACACAAAGCATAACAACTGAACCTCTCCTCAATGTCAAGTACCACTAGAAAAAGGAACCACCAAACCAAGAAAGACAAGAGAACTAGCCTACAGTTACCAAGTTATTAAACAAGAATCCTGCTATAAAAATACCTCAAAAAGTCACATGGGCTGCTCTCAACATTTAGCAGCTGTTGCTACTATCATATACTTATCCATCAGGCCAGACAGCCTTCCCCTAGGGAGGTCTATTCCCCCATTTCATCCCTCCCTCTACACTTTAACCTCTAGCTCAAACCTAAATTAAACCAGCTATCAGAACAAGGCAAAGCTCCAGTTCCCACGTTTATTGGAAACCACAAAAAGTTGCTATTTTAGCTCAAAGCCAGAAATCCAATAGAAAAATTTCATAATGTAATTTTGCAAGTGTTAGTTCTTACCTGCAACGTAAATTTCATCTAGTTTTTCAGCAACTTTCTGTGGTAAACCAGCATCAAGCAATGTCTGAAAATTTTCTGAATGGATAACTGCTGAAGTAGTATCCATGGGCTCTTCAGTACCATTTCCATTAACATGTTCTGTAGCCATGTTTCCAGAGATCTGTTCAAACGCAATAAGCAAAATTAAACTAGGATCTTCAAACAGAATAGAGGACAATGACAGTCCCAATCTTTACTTTCCCTACCACTTAACTACAACCAGACAGCCTGAGCCTCCCTTGAAAGAAACCTTAAAGTCACTATCGCCTGACAAGCCAGATTTTGGAGCCCGGGGTACAGAAGGACCAATTCACTATATTCTTCCTGAGCACCACCCCTAACTTCACCTGCTAACACTCACTGAGAAAAACCTTATTACAAATGAAGCCCAATCAGCACAGCGACCGGCCCAGCCTGCCACATGCAGCAATTCCAAAACGGAGAATAAGGTGTATGAAGCAAGCAACGCTGGGCTTGTCTCTCTCCAAGGTAAACCAGAAAGTGCGCTTTTCCCGCCTGCCGCTTATAGATCAGTAACAACAGCCAGCGAAGAACAAAGCGCTCACACAAGCCACCTTCCCACCACCCAATTCCTCCACCCTTCACCCCCACACCCCAAAGCCCGCCCCCGACTCCGCACCCGGAGCGGCAGCCTCGCCACTGCGGCCGCCAGGAGCCCATTAGAAACACGTGCTCTGCGCCTTCAAATGTCCTACAACTTCCTTCAACGGAAACCCACCGAGTACCGAGCCAAGACGGACATCATCGCCTCCCAACATCAACCCGCAGTAGCGGTCCGAGCCCCCCGAACCGTGCAGCCGCACAATCTTGCCCCTCAACACCGAGGCCGCGGCGGCGCCAGGCCACGGGCTCTCCCCGCCCCCCAGCGCCGCCGTCTCCGCCGTGACACATGGCTCTCCGCCTCGGGCGCTCCTGGGCGCCCGCGACCCCCAGCCTCCCGCACCCCTCGGTGCAGGAGCTGCGGCGCCGAGGCCGACAGCCCGCGCCGGGAGGGCGTTCCGCCGCCAAGCACACGCCCGCGGGAGCCGAGCACCGCCCAAGCCCGCCGGCCGGTCGCGGGACAGCACCCGCGCCTCTCCGCCCACTCCCGCGCCGCCGGCCACGACAGCACCAAGTCCGCCGCTGCTCGCAGTCCGCGCGGGCCACGGGGCTGCCGAGGCGCCTCCTCCCGGAGCGCCGCAGACAAAGCCCAGCCGCGGCAGCACATGGAGAGGAGGAAGTGGCGGCGCGACCGCGGCCTACTCTCTGGCAGCCCCGGCCAACGTGCTCTTCTCCCCCTTGGAATCCATTTTCCAGAAAAGCCGGTTTCTCCCCGCGCCGCCCTCCCCCAAGCACCCTCCACAATGTCATGGAGCTCCCCTCCCAGACCCGGGTGCCGGCGGTCGTTACCTCCCCGCGGGGCTGGGGCCGAGAAATCCTGTCCGACCGGGTCGGGTGGCGGGGAACGCGTGCTCGCTGCTCCCTGTGTCCGGCGCGAGTGGAGCTGTTGTAAAATGGCGGCCGAAGCTCACGCCGCTGGCAGCAAACCCGATCCAGTTCCACTCGCCTCCGAGCGCGCTCCCAGTGCGCGCGCGCGCCCCCGCGTGACCCCCCTTCCCTCCCCTCCCTGGCGCGTCCGCTTCTCTCACTCACTCCCTCAGCCCCTGCCCTCCTACAGCTCCTCCTTCTCCCCTTGCCACCTCCGCCGGCCGCTAGCCGCCCTGTCCTCTCGGCCTTCGTCCTTCCTTCCCTGCACCTCCTCCCCCAGCTTCCCCACTCCCGTCCGCGGCCGCTCAGACACGAGTGGCCGCCCTTCTCCTCGCTGGCTCTCTGGCTCACGCCCTCCCTCGCTAGCTCTCTCGGCCCGTCCCCAGTCCCTGCCGAGTCGCTCTTTCTCTCTCCCGCGCTGACGTGACGACGCAGCCGACGCCTCAGGACGCGCGCCCGCGGGCCCCGCCTCTCGCCCCGCCCCTAGCTCCTGGTGTGGGGAAGAGACCCCGCCCTTCCGCCGCGGCGACGGTGAGGGGCTGAGTGAATGAGAGCCCCGCCCTCTGTGCGGACACTCCCTCGCGCTCCGCGGGCGGGGCTGCCGGCTCGGCGTGTCCCACTCGTTCTTTGTCAGGAGACAAGCATCTCCCCACCCCGCCCTCCGGTCCCTCCCCGCCCCCACCGCCCCACCGCCGGCCGCGGCTCCGAGGGTGCCCGGGGCTGGCTGCCCGCTCTGCCCGGGCCGCCGCCGCCGCCGCCCCGCGTCCTGGGCGCTCGGGAAGCTGCAGGCGCACGTGTCCCCCGGGGCGGGGCGAGGCGAGGCAGACAATGGGGCTGCGGGGGAGGGGTGCTGCACGGGGGATGGCGAAGCTCGGGGCCACCGGGTGGCGGGGCTCGAGTTCGGGAGTCACCCCGGGGAGCCCCGGCTTCCGCCGCTGGACAATGGGGCATCCCGCGGCCCGGCGCGCGCCGTCCTCCGCTTCCACGAATACCCTGGGCGGAGGGAGGGGCGCCGCGGGTTCGCGAGGAAATCCCAGTGCCTCCCGCTCGGGGATGACACGGAGGCCAGATTTGGAAGCTTAACCGGCCCGGTGGTGTTGGATTGTGCAATATTCCGTTTCTGTCCCTGGCCTTTTAAGCCGTTAAGTGCTCCTCCTGGCACACTTTGAACAACTTGAAGCAGCACAAAGCTCCGTGATTAGGACAACTGTGAGGAAAATGTGTTTCTTTTCAAGCATCTTGGCAATTAAATGTTATGTGAAGTGACATTTCCTTTGTAACCATTTACTAGGGACAAGAAAGACAAGACAAAGGCGTTTGTATCTCAGGCGATATGGACACTAATTTTATCCAGAGCAACTGTAATAAAGAATAGCATTATCCTTTTTGCCAAAATCAAAAAAAAAAAAAAAAACAGAAAAAAAAACATTTAGAAAACTACTGGTTCTTCCAAATGAGCTTTATGCTATAACAAGCCAGTAGTCCGAGGAAAGTTAGATAAACACTCTTCAAAGTGCCTAGACACATAAAATGGAGCTTTTTTTCTGTTGACAGGTGGACCAAATAGGAAATATTTCTGAATTACTGTCTATCTAAAACCTGTTTAATAAGGTTCTGGCTATCCACTGCCTACATCCCCTACTACCAAACATATCCCTTCTATGGTACTTGATTAATTCAGCAAGAGAGTGTAGTTAATACCCCAAAAATCTAGATAATGATATCAATGAAAAACAACCAAAATGGTAATAGAAAGACCGTAGATTTAACAGGGTAGAAAAAGTTTGACACTTAACAGTTCTTATTTAATGATTCCTGAATACAAGAGCTCCTTTAAAAGATGCCACTCCCTAGGCAATGTCAAGAATTCTCCAACTGAGACCTCTCCTCTCCTACTCTGACCTAAATTCCTTTCATGTTTTCCACCTTCCCTCCCCCCCGACATATTTTAAAAGATGTAATTATCTGTATGTGTGTGTGTCAGCATGTGGCATGTGAGTGCAGGTGCCCACCGGGGCAGTGGATTCCACTGGAGCTAGAGTTACAAGCAGGTAAGAACCTCTAGAATTGTACCCTAGGAACCAAACTTGGGTTGTCTACCAGAGCAATAAGCTCCTTTTTTTTTTTTTTTTTTTTTTTTTTTTTTTTTGGTGTTTCGGGACAGCGTTTCTCTGTGTAGCCCTGGCTGTCGTGGAACTCACTCTGTAGACCAGGCTGACCTCGAACTCAGAAATCCGCCTGTCTCTGCCTCCCAAGTGCTGGGATTAAAGGCATGCGCCACCACTGCCCGGCAGCAATAAGCTCCCTTAACTGCTAAGACACTTCTCCAGCCCCCATACTTTTTTTTTTAAAGTATTTCTGATACTCCTATGTTTCAAAAGAAACTGAGCACCAGATCTTTCCTTTAATCACATCTATAATCCCAGCAGGAGGAAGAGGCTAAATGGCAAGTTCAAGGGCAGCATGCTATCTGAAAAAAAACAAAACAAAAAAAACAAAAAAAAAAAGGACAACATCCCCAGAGTTACCAAGGATGAGACAATCCTCTATTAGCATCCAACAACATTAGGAGTCATCTAGGACATCAAATTCTCCTGCTACCAAATCAGTTAATCAAATCCTGTCAGTTATCTCCTCTCCCAAAGTTCCATATCTGCCTTGCAACTGTGCAAAGCCACCACCCTTTACCCTGTACACTAAAAATAGACCGATCTGATTCATCCACTCTTGATGTTCTGATCCATTCAAGGCCAGCCTAAATCTGCATGTGTGTGAGTGTGTCTCCTGCCCCACCTCCCACCTGTTACAGATAAGATCCTAAGGAACATTTGTAGTTCTGTGGATCATCCTGCTTGATCTGCAACATCCCCAGCCTCCCCGACCCCCAAAAATAAAAACAAAAATTAGACTTGGGAGAAAATCCTAGACTGTCTGAATCTGCTGCCCGCCCCCTTTACAGTTCCATGGAGCTCAGCTGGTTTAGGATGACCTTGACTTTCTCGGGCTCCTACCTCCACCTCCCAAGCATTCCCACTGGCTTTATGTAGCTAAGCAAACACTCATCTGAGCTATATCCCAAGCCAGAGAGCTCAAATCTTTAAGCTCCCCATTTTAGCTACTTAGCCAACCACAGCTGTCTTTTCCTCAATTCTGGCATTTCTAAGGTAGTTCAAACTAAAGAACCTACTCAGAAGTGGTTGGTGTCCTGGGCAGAACTTAATAAAAAACATTCAGCTGTGCCCTCTACTAAACAATTTTTCCCCTTCTTTTAATTTTTAAAACTATTTTATTTTATTTTATTTTATTTTATTTTATTTTATTTTATTTTATTTTATTTTTTAGAAAGAAGGGTGGAATCCATTATTTTCCTGCCCTGGCTGGTGTCCAGGGCAGAACTTAATAAAAAACATCCAGCTCTATTCTTTCCTAAACACCTTTCTTCCTTTTCTTTTTATCTTTCTTTTTATTGTTTTATTTTATTTTACTTTTATTTTTTGATTTTTCAAGACAGGGTTTCTCTGTATAGCCCTGGCTGTCCTGGAACTCACTCTGTAGACCAGGCTGGCCTCGAACTCAGAGATCCACCTGCCTCTGCCTCCCAAGTACTGGGGTTAAAGATGTGCACCACCACTGTCCGGCTTCTTTTAAATGTTTCAACTTTTTTATTTTATTTTTTTGAGGGGAGAGTGGAATCTATTATCTTCCCAGAATGGTCTCAAACTCTTAGGCTCACACAACCCTCCTGTGTCAGCCTCCCAAGTAGCAGGAACTACAAGCTAATACCTTCACACTCAGCTCATTTGACACCTTTCAAAAAGAAACAATAGTGTAATTAATTATTCCCCTTAGGACTCTGGCCCTAGACTTGATACTAATACAGGGAAATCCCAATAGACTAAAACCTGAACTGGACCAGGCATGGTGGGACATCTTTAATATCAGCACTTGGGAGACAGAGGCAGACAGGATCTCAGTGAATTTAGAGTCAGCCATGTTTCAGATCAGGCAGAGGCTACATAGTGAGACACTATACCCCCTCCCCCCAAAAAAAAAACCTGAACAGATGATTTTTAATCTGATTTTATTTGTTTTTATCATGGGTTTTTTTCTTTTTAATTTACTTCTTTATTTATTTATTTTGAGACAGGGTTTCTCTGTGTCATCCTGGCTTGTTCTCGAACTTGCTGTGTAGATCAGGCTAGCCTCTAACTCAGAGATCTGCCTGCCTCTGCCACCCAAGTGCACCACCACCTCCCAGTGGTTTTATGGGATTTTTTTTTCCAAGACAGGATTTCTCTGTGTAGTCCTGACTGTCCTGGAACTCACTCTGTAGACCAGGCTGGCCTCAAATCCACCTGCCTCTGCCTCCCAAGTGCTGGAGTTAAAGTCGTGTGCCACCACTGCCTGGCTGTTTTATGGGAATTAATGTTAAAGCGTGGGTATAAGAAGTACCCAGTAAATATGGGTACTTGTTTCTGTGTGTTAAGTCTCTTCATTATCTAATGCAGACTTTATGCTGCATTACACCAAAGAATGATAGACTGACATTCCAAATCTGCTACTGAATATAACTGTAGACTTTCTCATCTTAGAACTGCTATTTCTTTCTTGTTTAAAATCGTCATTTCCGCTGGGCAGTGGTGGCGCACGCCTTTAACCCCAGCACTTGGGAGGCAGAGGCAGGTGGATTTCTGAGTTCGAGGCCAGCCTGGTCTACAGAGTGAGTTCCAGGACAGCCAGAGATACATAGAGAAACCCTGTCTCGAAAAACCAAAAAAAAAAAAAAATCATTATTATTGTAGGAGAATAGGGACACATAACAAATTAGTATGAAGATCAGAAGAGAACTTTGTGCAGTCAGCGCTCTGGGTTCCAGATCAAGCTCAAGGTGCCAGACTTTTATGGCAAGTATGTTTACCCACTGAGAAAACTTACAAGCCCAGAATTGCTGTTTCCATATCTATTAAAGAGGTGACTTGAAATACAAATTTTAGTATCTTTTGTTTAAAGATTCATTTACTTATGTATGTAAGTACACAGTTGCTGTCTTCAGACACACCAGAAGAGGACATCAAATCCCATGACAGATGATTGGAAGCTATCATGTGGTTGCTGGGAACTGAGCTCAGGACCTCTGGAAGGGCAGTCAGTGAGCCATCTCTCCAGCCCTTAGTGTCTTTCTTTAACCTTAAACTTTAAAAACATTCAAACTCACCAGTTTCACATTATTTAACTATATACAAATGCACCTAAGGTCTTCTCCACTTGAATTTTACCTTGTCTTTATTTTTTTAAAGCGTACTTTCCCCATTTTTTGTGTTTGTTTGTTTGTTTGTTTGTTTCGAGACAGGGTTTCTCTGTGTAGCCCTGGCTGTCCTGGAACTCACTCTGTAGACCAGGCTAGCCTTGAACTC